GTCTGTACCCAGGGACAGTCAGCGGTTACACAGAGCTTATCAATTTGAGTTGCATGTGGCCACATTGTCTTTAAAAAGGGGAAGGAGAAAGTGATAGGAAAGCTCAGAGAGGAAAAGATGCAGCAGGCATGTATACACACTCATGTTCATGTGTGTGCGCATATGCATGCACATACATTGCGCCTGTGGGCATGTGTGTGCCTGTGTGCAAGTGTGTGCGTGCCAGCATACAGCCCGTTTGCATACTGAAAGGCCCGAGTCCGGTGCAAATCCTCAGTAACTTTGCCATTACCGCCAAGACCATCCCGTTCCCTGCAAACCTCCTGGGCACAAGTTCCACTTCTGAGCAGCAGCCAAGCTGGGGACAGAGCAGCGCCCCGGTGGTGGCAGGGGGCCAGCACCCCCGCGTGGAGCCCAGGTCCCTGGGGGCCCACCTGGACGGCTGAACTGGCATGCCCTGGCCCCGGCCCCGGCCCTCCCCCGCCGCCGCCCTGGCACGGAAACCCCGTGCGCAGCGGTCGTGGCTGAACAAAGGCGCCTTTCTTGGGGCACAGCCTAGGAAGCAGCTGACTCGGGAGTGCACGGAGCTCTCTGACCCTGGCGCTGGGGGCCTTCCTGAGCGGGGCGGCAGTGGCCGTGGGGGGCGGCACGCGGCGGGACCAGAGTTAACGTCAGCTCGGTCCCTTCGGGACTGAGAGAATGGCTCTTCCGGCAGGTGCTCGGGGGCAGGGTCGGTCCCCGGGAGGCTTCCCCGGTAGCTCTTTTGTCCTCGCCCTCCAGTAGCGGCGACACCGCCCCCTGTTGGGCAGCTCCTGAAATTCTGCTTCTTCCCAACAACCGCACAGGGCGGGACAGGTCAGGTGGGCAGGGGGTGGGCGGAAGACAGAGCTCCGAGCTGGGCGCCCTGGGGCAAGGGGTCCCCCCTGCCCGGGCCTCGGTTTACTCATCTGTGAGAAAAGGCTAGTTATCCATTTTCCTGCCTTATCACATCGTCATGGAAACAGTGCACCTGTGAAACCATGTCTAGTATCAGGTAAGCACGGGAATACGTACGTCACCTTGCAGATGAACAGATTATTCTGTGTCATTGAAAGTTCTTTCATTTTGGCACAAAGTGCCCCCCTTTCTGCCTGTAACTGGGGTTGCTCCTTTGTGTCACTCGGTTTTAAATCGAGTGACACCTGCCCTGCATCATCGTGCCCTGTGCCCTCCCTGGTCCTGTAGCAGCTGGGACTCCCTCTCTGTCCCAAGTTGTCCTTGTGCCGCGACTGACCTCTGAGCCCCCCAGTACTGGCCTATTGAGCAAGCGACAAAAAGAATGCATCCCAGTCACCTCAGGGGGCCTGGCTTGGGTCTGAGGGGAGATCCCCTTGAAGAGCTGTGCGTCAGGCCGTTTCCAAACCATGGGACCCAGCTTCTCTGGGGACCGTCACTCGCTGACCCCGGGTTGGAAGCGCGGCCTCGCCTCGGGCCGCCCGCTGTGTCTGGGAGAGCGGGCTCCATGCCGTGGTGCCGAGCAGGGACCGAACAGCTTCCTCCCACCGCCGCCCCCCCCCCAGCCCTGGCCCCTTCCCCACCGCCCCCAGCCCGAAGGGCGTTTCCGGGCCCCTCGCGGGAAGCGTGGGAGGCCTGCCCCCGCCTCTCCCTGCCTCCCTCGCCCGCGCCTCCCGGCCGAGCTCCTATCCTCTGGCCCTGTTTATGGGCCGCTGGGACTCTTCCAGCCACCTGACATGAATCTTCGAGGCCCCCCAGGTAGCTCAGCCCGTCTCGGCCGTGAACCGCGTCTGGGCCTTTCATCTGCGGTTGTTTATGTCACGAACGGTGGGAGGCCTGGGCCGGGGCAGCAACACCGTGAACCGATCCAGGCTTTTTTTTTTTTCTTTCTTCTGTTTTACAAGAAAGGGGGGGAAGACAGGCCCCGAGAGCCATGTTTCCAAGTCTGTGCCAAGCACGTTCATTTCCCCCCGCCCGGCTGCGCTGAGACGGCATCTCCGCTTCCCCACGAGGCGTCCCAGGGAGACTGCGTTCGTGTCCAGGTGGCCTCCGGGGACGCTGACGTGTTGGGGGAGACGCAAGGGGTGCTGTCATCTCTGCTGAGGGCGTCGGCTTCAGTTACGAGGGATTGCAGGGCCGTGGCGGGCGGAGGAGCCGCCGGCGCCCGAGAGGGGCCGTCCTCTCTGCCATCAGAGGGCTTGGAGGCGTTCCTTCCTCTTCTCCCGGTCCTCGCGCTGGTTCCCGGGGAACCTCCCGGGGAACCTCCCGGGGAACCTCCCGGATCTCTGCGAGCTTTCCTTGGGGAGGGCGGATTGATTTGTGTATATTTTAGACACTGGCTGTTTTCCTGGAGGAGTGGGCGTCAGAGTCCGACTGAGGAAAGGCCCGCGCCTTGGGGACATCCCAGGCAGCCCGGAAACCCCCGGCACGGTCAGAGGGCACCGCCGTGCCCATGACGTGTCCAGCGCAGCGGACAGACGCCAGGCAGTGGCGACTGGCGGCCTGCCTTCCACTCGGCAGCTGGGTTGTGACGTGGTCCTATGGGAGCGAACACCACCCCCTCCAGCCATTGACCCTCTGTGTCTGTGAGCAGGGGCGCCGCCCACACTGCCATCACCAGGAAAAAGGGACCAGTGGCCAGGAGGGCTCTAGAGCGGTGCCCTTCTCCCTCCCCCCCTGAGAACAAACGTCACCTCTCTCCTCTTAGGGCAGCTGAGAGGACGCGTGAGCCGCCGCCTGCGGTCTCTCTGCGTCCTCCGAAATGCACACCAAGGGCGGGCCTCGGACGGGGACCCCGCCCCCAGTTCCATCCTGGGGAGTGAGCCTGTCTCCCAGGCAAGCTCAGGTCACAAAACACCAGGGGCGTGGCCATCCTGCCTCTGGGCTTGAGCAGACTCGCCATGACATCCCTGTCCCGGAAGCTTCCCCGACTCCCAGCCCCCTCTTTCTCTCCCTTCTCACAAGCGCTGCCCACACCCCTACATCCTGTACAAGGTGCCGCCAGCGTTGCCCAGGGTCCCGTCCGCAACGAGAGAGACGTCTGCACTCGGGCACCTGCTGCTGCAAGGAACAGAAACGTGTGCCTCAGGGCCAGAGCTCTCCTTTTACTTGGAAGGAACGATGGCGACGATGGCGGCGGTGGTCATTTACTGGGCACCGTCGACAGCGTTAGAAACCCTTCCCACTTACCATCTCATTGAATTCCAACAATACTGCTACTTCCCCCAATGAGAACGCTGGTTCTCGACAATTCGTTCAAAATCACACGTGATCATGGGCCGTTCCCGAGAGTGAAGCCGAGGTCGTGAGACTCCAAAGCCGAGGGTGCAGGTGCTGCGCCGTGTCGCTTTCCAAATGGTGTTTCCGTACACGAGCCATTGCGCTGAAGTCTTTGGGGACGGGACGCCCTCCCTGGTTACCAGCGCACATTGTAGCAGACGGCCGGAGGGTGACCAAAAGAATCAGGCCGACTCCGGAAACGTTCGCAGGGGCCGTGTCGTGGGCAAAGCTGGAATAAGATATGAGGTTTCTGAATACATACAACTGCACATGGAACACGTTCTATACGGCGGACCTGCTGTTCGTGTGTCCCACACTCGGCTCCTCTTAGTCCCTGCCTTCCGTGGTCCTTGGGTGGGGTGTCGGCCCCATGGTCTCATGTGTCACTGACGGCATCCCTGGCACCCCAGGGCGTCCTCGTGACCCCGAGGCGTCCAACAGCGGAGAGAAGTATTGTTCCCACTGAGGATGGGGCTGGGGGTCTCCGGGCAGCGGGGTGCGGGGCGGGGCCCAGAAAGAGTGTGTCTGTGAGTCGGTGGCTTCCTGTTTCCCCCTCTTCTCCTCTCATGTCTCCCCTCGAGTCCCTGAAGCCTCCAGCACTTACTCTTTTCCTTGCGCTTCGAAAAAAGTCTGTCCAGGAAGACCCTCGAGTGCTCTCCTGCAGACGTGTGGCAGTGGTGAGCGGGCTGAGTGACCCTGGAAGAAAAACTTCTCCTCGTCACGAGGATCTCCCTGGGTCTGTTGGGTTTATTCATTTGCGCTGTGGGGCGGGGGAGAGCGGCAGAAGGAAAGACGTCTCCCCACAGCATCCAATAGGGGCCTCCTGGGCACCAGGACACATAACGCGGCTCCGTGTGCAGGCAGGACCCTCTACGCTCAGCACGGTCTGCACACAGCGACTTCCGCAGGCAGGATCCCCCGTGCTCAGCACGGTCTGCAAGTGGCCCTGTTTGCAGGGAGGACCCTCTGCACGCGGCACAGTCTGCACGCGGCACAGTCTGCACGTGGCACAGTCTGCGCGCGGCGCTGTCTGCAGGCAGGACCCTCTGCGCGCGGCAACCTCTGCACACGGCCCAGTCTGCACGCGGCGCCGTTTGCGGGCAGGGCCCTCTGCACGCGGCACTTTCTGCAGGCGGCACCCTCTGCGCGCATGCGGTACTGTCTGCAAGCGGCTTTCTCTGCGCGCGGCACTATCTGCACGCCGCACGGCTTGCACACGGTGCCTTCTGCGCGCAGGACCCTCTGCACGCGGCCCAGTCTCCACGCAGGACCGTGTGTACGCAGCGCCCTCTGCACGCAGTGCCGTCCGCACGCGGCACCGTTTGAACGAGCGCCTCTGCCCGCGTCACCACTCATTCCGCACACAGCTCTGCTGCTGATGCTGCTCACTGGGTGGCTGGTCCTGTCACCCGTGTGCCGATGAGGAAACTGAGGCTCCGCATGTGGGTTCCGCACAGGAGGTGACTCACGTGCGCCAGACGTGTACTGAGGGCGTAGTTTGGGTGGGGGCCTGAGGTCGCCCTGTCACACTGCAAAGGTCACACCCTCAGGGACCCCCGGGGAGTGTCCTTTCACGCTCAGCCTGTACGCCCAGCGTTCACGGAGACGAGCAAGACGGCCACACTCAGGCACAGAGCCATCTTGGCTGCGCGGACAGAGGGCTGCGTCCGGCCAGTGTCCGGCAGTGGCCCTGAGGGACACAGCGCCTTGGTTTCTGCGTCTTCCAGGCAAAAGCGATGATGAGGAAAGTCTCTGCAAGTCCGCCCACGGGGCTGGGAAGGGCGCCGCCGAGGACGGCAAGGACCCCAAGCGCCCCAAGCGTCCCAGGACCATCCTGACCACCCAGCAGCGGAGAGCGTTCAAGGCCTCGTTTGAGGTGTCCTCCAAGCCGTGCAGAAAGGTGAGGGGGATGGGGAGGGGGCAGGCCCGGGCCCCCCTTTCTGCGTGGTTGCTCGGCTCCTGGGGTGCCCACGGGCTCCAGGGGCTGCGGGGGGGTGGGGGGCGCTGTGCGTGGCGTGCAGGTGGCCTTGAGCCTGGCGGGAGGCTCCGGGGCCGGGGCCGGGGCCGTGCCGGGGCTCGAGCAGACCCTCGCCGGGCCTGTGGGTGGGTGTCCTCCCGCCCCTGGCCGAGCGCTCACACTGCCATTCCCTGAGCGTGGGCGGCGGGGAGGACCCGGCGCTGTGACAGAGCCGCGCCGCAGCGGCTCGTGGGGTGCACTCTTTCTGTGGTCCCGCGTGTCGCTCGTGGGGAGGCGGTCTGGGGACTCGGCCGCGCGGCAGTTCCTTGTCTTTGCTGTTGAGCGCTCTCCCGCCTCTGCAGGGGCCACGGTTGGTTCACCCGCCTGTGGATGGGGCGGGGGCTGTCCCCTGCTTGGGGGCGTCACAGACCAGGCTCCTGGGCATTCTCATGGAAAAAGAAAAATACGGTGGTTTAACCAGAAGGGTTTATTTCTCTCGTTGGGCGTGGTCCGGAGGTGACAGTCCTAGACTGCCCGGGTCTCTGTGGTCCATCACGTGGGCCGGGCGTGGCTGAGTTGTCACCGTTGCCTGCAGCCACCGCGGTGGGGAAAGAGGAAGAGTAGGGCACACGGCTGCTTTTTTACGGGCAAACCCAGGATTCTTGGCTCCACTTTCATTCATAGGTTTTGGCCAAAACTTAATCCTGTGCAGAGCCCCCTGCCAGGGGCTGGGAAGGGAGTCTGGGTGACCACGCGCCCCGCTGAGACTTAGCCTGGGGATTCGACGGCCGATGGGAGGAAGGGGGAGCATGGGCGGCAATTGGCCGTCTTGGCCACGTTTATTAAGTACCTGCCATGTGTCGACTGCTTGTCACGTGTCCGCAGGGAGGGTGCGTGTTTGAACACATCTCTTTCTCGGGGGTCCGCATCGCCCCCTGTCGGCACAGCTCCGGGTTCCGAACGGCCCCTGTCTCACTCCGGGCAGGGCTCACGCACAGTGACCATGAGCGTGAATCTCCCACGCGTTTGGGTTCCGTGTAACACCCAAAACCACCTCGAGCCGTGAGGGACAGGGCCAACCATCAAGGTCAAAGAAGCAAGCCCGGAGAAGGGATCGGGGGACCCCTTGTGCTTTTGCACATTGGCCTTCTCCCCGACTTCTCCTGGCGGGGGTTCATGCACGTGTGTGACGTTCAGCTGATGCACCGTGGGTTTGCCAGTGTCCGGGAGCCCCTCGGCGGCCCGATGGCCAGAGCGAGAGACGCCCACTGCCTCTGGGAGTTCCCATCTAACAGGACAGCTGTCCTCCAGCTGTTTCCCTGTGGGAGGACCCTCTCCCCGCCTGACGGAAGCGACGCCTTTGGGTTGGGGTTTCCCTGCCCGTGGGCCCCACGACGTGGCCCGTGGGCATCCCGTGCTCTGGGGGCAGAGAGCTCTGCCTGGGCTGAGACACCAACAGTTCCGTGTCTCGTGGTGCCTTTTTCCCAGGTGAGGGAGACGCTGGCTGCGGAGACGGGGCTGAGTGTCCGTGTGGTGCAGGTGTGGTTCCAGAACCAGCGAGCCAAGGTAGCGTCTGCCGCCCGCCCCCCGCCCCCCGCCCCCCCCCCCCCGTGTCTGTGCGGCCGGGTCCCGGAGCCGCGAGCGGGAGCACCTCGCGCTCGCTGACCAGAGCACCTTCGGCAGGGGGTTCTCCTGACTCGGGCGCTCTGTTACCAGCAATCCCCGGGGCACAGCGCCGTGTGGCAGGGGACACCGGTGCTTGGTTTGGTGAGATGCTTTCATTTTCCCGGCGGCCATGGCTGTGAACCTGGCCAGCCACGCGTGTGAATGTCTTTCTGGACCTTTTGGGAAAAGCAGTTTCTTCAAGTCCCGTTAGTTTAACCCAGACCCCAAAGTTCTTTTAAAATTCCAGAGAAACCTACATGTCACACACGTGATTGTCCTGTTACAACACCGTGGCCCTGGGGACGCCTTCCCCCCGCCCCCGGGGCCATGTCTCCCCGCCCCCAGGGGAGGGCTAGACCTCCGTGTGGTCTCGGCAGTCCCCTGACGCGGGCCTTTACTGGAGACCTCACCACGCACGTGTCCTGTGACCGGCCACTCTCGAGCCCTGATCTTCCGTGGGCGATAAACAAACGGCTTCTGATTAGCCACACTTGTTTAAGGGAACGTGTCCCTACCCGAATTCCTCAGAACGGGGCCGTGGGCGTGTCTTCCACGGTCCCCACCCCGGGAGAGGGTGTCATGGGTCAGTAGGTCTGGGGGAGCTGCAGCCCCGGAGCACGGAGTGCACATGGAGCCCGAGAAACCTGGCAGCAAAGCATCTGTCTAACCTAGTGTCTCCCACGCCCTCGGAGCGCACACCGGCTTCTTGGGGCGCCCTGGCGTTCCACGGAACCCGGTTTGGGAACCGCTGGGCTACCAGGCTCCTCCCAGGAAGTGTGTGCACTCACGTGGCCTTCGGGAGGCAAGCTCCGCCCCTAGAGGCCGGGCTGTCCTGGTGGGTCCTCAGACGCAAGGGCCAACGGGGAGGGGGCGCGTGGGGACAGCCTCCCCACACTCGGGCCTCACGTGAGACTGTCACTACGTCAGCAGCAAGTTTTATTTGCCGAGACAGCGTTGCCGCCCAGCCGGCTGTCATTCCGTGGTGGTCGCGAGGGGATGGCACGTGGACCTCTGGGCGCTGCTCCTTAGCGTGGCTCCCGTGAGAGTCACGGCCCGGGACGTGGTCCTGCTCCTCGCACGCGAGCCCTCCCCGCGGCCTGAGCCCGCGGCAGGTCCCGCCGTCTAACCCGGGGGCCCTCTGCTCGTCAGATGAAGAAGCTGGCCCGGCGGCAGCAGCAGCAGCAAGACCAGCAGACCAGCCAGAGGCTGAGCTCCGGTAAGTGCGTAGCCTCCCCTGCTCAGCTCTTCGGACACCACCTGCGTGGGGCGGGGACCTTCGGGGGGGTGGGGGAACTGAGCCCCAGGAGCTCGGGAGGCGGCCCTGGGGGCGTCGGCGCGGCCCGCGGCGCCTCAGCACGCCCAGCCCTCTGTCCTCTGGGACGTGAACTCGCTAGAAGACGCCACTGTGACCTGGCCCTTGCCAAAACGACGTGAAATGGTGAAAATGACGATAGTAGACTAACAGTGTCCCGTTCTCACTGCTGCTGGCCAGATGCTTCCACCCCCGACTCCCCCAGGCGAGCGGAGGGGTTATTACAGGCTCTGCCGGGCGGGCTGGGGTCCCCGGCGAGGAGGGACTGCGCTGGGCCCGAGACGCCGAGACACCTCTGAGCGGCAGTTTCACGGGGCTCCTCGGGGGGTCGTGCTGGTGGGGCCTTTGGATCCGCCCGCTCCCGTGGCTGTAACCTGAGCGCACTCCCGGAGGCCTCTGTTTTAATGACACATCGCTTTGAGGAAGCCCTCAGGTTCAGCGGCCCCGTCCCTGTCCTCCAAGCGATGCCCGATGGCCCTTGTGAGGCCCAGGCTGGGACCCCGCGATGCCGCTCATTTCTATCCAGTCTGTGAACGAGGAAACCAGGGCCCAGGAAGGGAAATAAGATGACGTAGCCATGGTTGCACCTCTTGTGTGGCCACCGCCCTCCACGATGACCCTGCAGGACGGGACGCTCGTCCCTGGTGGTCACAGCCTGGACACTGAGCAGGGCTGACCCGGGGTGTGGCTTCCGAGGCTGAGTCATCGGGGTGAGGCTACTCCTGCTTCCCACTCTCCGGGGCCCCACGCCCAGGGAAGCCAGCTGCCTGTGACGTCCACGCAGCCGGGCAGCAGCGGGTGCCCCGGGCCCGGCCCACCCCTCTGCAAGGCCAGGCTCCCTGTGTGACACCCGCCTGCCGCTCACTCTCGTCTCCTCACGGAGCCACAGCAAACGCCGGGGCCGGGCGGGGCCCCCGGGACTAGGGATGTGGTGCCCAGAAGCCGCTGGGTGTACCTCGGTGGCCGCGGGGGCGCTGGGCTGTCTGCGGGCAGTGACCCGCTGCCGCCTCTGCCCCGCAGCTCAGACAAACGGCGGCGGCAGTGCCGGCCTGGAGGCCATCATGAACCCCTACACGGCGCTGCCCACCCCGCAGCAGCTGCTGGCCATCGAGCAAGGCGTCTACGGTGCGGACCCCTTCCGGCAGGGCCTCACCCCGCCCCAGATGCCCGGAGACCACATGCACCCCTACGGTAAGAGGGCGCCCGCGGCCAGGCCCAGGCAGGGGTCCGTGGTGTCTGTCACCTCGTCCTTGTCCCCGTCTGATCTGTTAAGGAGACGAGACCCGGCGAGAGTGGCCGCCGCCCTCCAGGGCGACCCTCGGGGATGCTCACCTTTGTTGAATGACACGTCCCTAGTTCACTTGCCCGCCCCCCCCTCCCCCTCCGCCTCCCAGGTGACCCCACAGGCCCCAGGACCGCTCCCGGCTCCCTGGTGTGGGTCTCTGCCTCCCTCCGTCCCAAACGCATCGGCCGGTCCCCAGGGGCTCCAGGAAACGGAGGCGAAGGGTGCACATGTGTGGTCCCCAACAGTCCTCTGTCGGGGTGCTGGGGCGTCGAGGGCGGATGCCCCACCCACCTCCGCAGACGAGTTCAGGGAGAGCCTGGGTGGGCGGTGCCCGCGCATGCTCGCTCCCTCGCCCTCCCCATTCAAGGCCCACGGTGGCCACCCAGGACCCCGCCTGCCCAGCCGTCCCCGCACCCACCGTCTCCGCGGTCTGCTGCCTGCTCTGGCCGTTTGGTCCTGTTCTCAGTTTTTGCGCCGCAGACACCAGCCCCCGGGGAAAGCAGAGCCCTTGGTGGTCGGGGACTGCGATCCCGCCTCCGGTGCACACAGCCCACCCTCTGCACCCCCCCCCCCCAGCAGCTTCACCGGGGGACACACCGACGCCCCCGCCCTGAGGGACGTCCCCGCTCCCAGACCCTGACGTCCATGTCCGGTCTCCATTGCAGGTGCTGAGCCCCTTTTCCACGACCTGGATAGCGACGACACCTCCCTCAGTAACCTGGGAGACTGTTTCCTAGCAACCTCAGAAGCCGGGCCCCTGCAGTCCCGCGTGGGGAACCCCATCGACCACCTGTACTCCATGCAGAATTCTTACTTCACCTCTTGAGCCTGCCCCCAGCGCCGGGCGGCTAGACCCCGACTGGAGCACTGGAGGGGGAGGGGTCGGCTGGCTTTAGGACGCGGAGGCGGGGAGAGGGGGGCTGGGGGTGGGGGGGCGTCTTGTCGGGGGTGTGTCGTGTGATGCTCTGGGGTAGGTCGGCATTTCCAAAGACTGGCTACATAACGGATCGCGTAGTTTAATGTTTCTAATAAGAGTTAGTGTTAGGTACGCAGGTGTGTTTATCACGAAGGACGGGGACGTTTTACGTAGACGTTGTCACGCAGACTAGATGGTTAGAGGCCCCTAACGGCTTCCCCTGAGTCGGGGGAAGCGCTTCACAAGAGGTGCATACGTCTCTCCGTCCATGCGGCCCATAGACAGACAGACAGATGTGTGTGTGAGTGTGTAACCTTTCTTACTTTATCATCAAAGTCTATTCCTAATTATGACAGACACCAGCTGTACAGCAAAGTAACTTTATTTTCAGTGTGAGCTATATTTAAGGAAATGCTTGATGCACTTAAGTTATAAAACGAGATGATTTACTTTTATAAACTTTATTTTTAGTTGGAAGGGACGCGTCGGCAGGGCGGAGGGGCTGCTCCCCCGGGGTCACCGAGGTCGGGGGCCAGCAGTGCACGCTCTGGGCTTTTGCCCTCCTGGGGGGTCGAAGCGGGGGGGCCCGGGGGACAGAACAGCCCTCGATTATGCTCCTAGAGAGCGTAACGCCTGGACCCTCTTCGGCTTTCTCTTAAATTCTGGCTCGAGGTGGCTGGCGGCGCCAGGAACGGCAGTTGGCTCCTGGCGGTCATCGCTGGCGAGGGGGGGGGCGGCTGAGAGGATGTACCTACCTCACTGGGGGGGGGGGGGGGGCGCTGAGGCCTCGTTTGCCCCCAGGACGCAGGAGCAGGGCTGAGGCGGGCCCCCAAGGTTTGTTTAAACACAACTGGGCTGGTCACGTGGCAAAGCAGGCCCCCAGGGCTGGCTGCACAGCTAGAGGACTTCTGTCCCCGAGGTCCCCGCAGCAAAGCCTGGGCCGCAGCCGTGAGGGCAGGAGCGCCGGGGGAGCGCCCAGTCCTTGGGGGCAGGGGCCGCGGCGGAGGGGACGCAGGAGGGGACCAGGGCTCTCCGGCCAGGGCGGCGAGCTGCGGCCTGGCTGTGGTCTGCCCTCCAAGAATGGTTTCTACAGTTTCAGAAGGTGGTAAAAATAAAAGCTGAAAAGAGACGGAGGCTGTGCCTGGTGTGTGTGTGCGTGGCCCAGAAGCCCAAGACTCCTGTTGTCTCTACTTTCTGCAAAGGGGGCGCGGGTCCCGGGCCCGAGGGCCTGTTTCTGGAGGCGGGGCGGTAGGGGGGGCACTCCTCCCGGCTCCCCTCTCCCCCTGAGCACAGCCACCCAGCTGCCATCATGCCTGGGGACAGGCGCCCCCGTTCCCCATGTGGCGCTCAGACGGTGCCTTCTGTGTCTGGAGTCCGGGAGCTGGGAAGGAGTGATGGGGAGGTCTGGGTCAGCTAGGACTCCTCCGAGAGGTAGGGGACAGGCTGGCCTCCCTCCAGGGGACGTCGCCAGCCACGACAGCGTCGGGCCCAGCGGCTCGCCCCATTGCGCTCCGCCAGGCCGAGGGCCCAGGCCCCCTTAGGGTAGCGTCTTCGGCGGGTGGCGTTTGTGCGCTAGTGAGTAATTTCTGCAAGCCACCAAGAGCCCACCCCGTGCAGCGAGCGGACATCGGGCAGACGCGTGGGGCCTCCTGGCCTCCGTGGAAAGGCCCCGCGGAGAACGTCACAGGTTCCACGTGTGTGAGCTGGACAGAGATGCTGTCCCACTCCTCAGCCTCGGCAAACCAAGACGAAAGTAAAAACTTCTTACAGACAAGTTGTCATTGACTCAGTGGCGTGGATGGTGGGCGGGAACCAGGGGACACAGGTGTTTTGTCAACAGGGACACGGGGCTGAGACTGGGCAGAGTGTGAGTGTGTGGATGTGAGTGTGTAAGTGTGTGAGGTCCCTATGACAACCCTCTGGATTCAACAGGGAGGGCGTGACATCCTCCACGTTGCAGATGAGAGACCTGTAGCTCAGAGAAATTAAGCCTCAGGGCGCAGCGTTGAGCTCCTTCTCCATTTGTCCTGGCGCTCAGTCTCCTGCCTGCCCCCCCCGGCACCCCAACTTTGAAGTGGCTGGTGCGTAGACCCCTAGGAACACATGCACGCCCAGGTGCTGCCGTGAGGGGTACGGAGAAGTCACATTACCTTTCCCGCCTCCAAGGAGCTAACGATGTAGATGAAAGTAAAGACATGCACGTGAACTTGACCTGCACGCCAGGTGTCGGACGGCTGGCGCGGACGCTGTGTGCTCTGCGCGTCAGGAGAGGCTTCGCCAAGAAGGGGAGGCGCGAGCCGAGCCATCAGAGAGGGGCGGCGAGGAGGGGGGACATGCCCAACCAGAGGGCCGGGGGGGGGCAACGTGCGGAGGAGGGGGCGCCAGGTGCGGGCAAGTGCCTAGAGAGCCCTGTGGTGGGAGCGGAGCATTGCCCGATGGTGGAATTGGAGGCGCTGGGTGAGGCCGATGGTGACGGTGTTTGTGGCAGGAGTGTGTCACCAGCAATTTGCAGATAGTCATTTCCCCTTAATCTGCTCTCTTTTAAGACAATGCCCTCCAGTTTTAGCCAGCACGAGGCTGCTGGGAATAGAGCCTACGCCCCCGCAAAGTCCAGTGCAGCCGAGTGTGCCCGCTTGACCAAGCCCGGGCCGGTGAGAGAGCCCGAGTGCCTATGGTGTGTTGGAGGTCCTGCCCCTTTCTCCTTCCCTGTGCCACTTTGTCCTTCATGGCTGGAATGCAGACATGATGGCTGGAGCTGGAGCAGCTATCTTAGGCCCTGAGGTGAACATGTGAATGGAGGCCCCACAAGGTGCCACACAGTAGGAGGAGCCTGGGTTCCTGAGGATTTCTGGGAGCCACGCCGCCGGTCTAGCCCTGAACTACCTACATCCAAACATAATGTATGAGAGAGAAATAAACGTATTTTTTTTAAAGTTACTGTTGTTTTGTGTTTCTTTGACTCCCTGTCAGATCGACTCTGGATACACAAAGCCAAACCCAGCTGGAAAGAAAGCGGAGCCCCTTTTGTCCCCTCACGCTGCAAAGACGCTCGGTAGTGGGAGCTGGCAGGGGCGGGACCGGCGTCGGGGGGCGGCGGAGAGGGTCGCCTGGCCCCTTTGGAATCTGCAGGTGGTCTGAGGCCACAGACATTAGTGCTGGGTCCTCTCATCCCCCCGAGAAAGGGGTCAGGGTGGCTTATTTGTCCATCTCCTCTCAACACACCTCTCCGAACCTCCCCACATGTCCTGGGCACCCATGGCCCACGGGGAGCCAGGCGCCAGCGCCCTGCAGGAGGCTGGTCCGCGGTCCCTGTGCCGTTTCCTACGTACCCCACCTGGGGCCGCCCCATTGTTCATCGACATAGGCACACGTACACATTTTTGACATACGACATGTGTGTACATGCTCTCTATACACACACAGACGCACACATTAGGAGGCATGTTGACCAGAAGTCCCGTGCCCCCGGCTGGCCAGGTATGTTCTCTTAATTCGAGGTCCAAGCTGTCATTTGGGCAAAGCCAGGCCATGGTCACTGGTGTGTTGGGACCCAGGGGAGAGGGGAGGTGGAGTCAAAGGCTCGCCTCACCTCCTGGGGCGGGAAGAAGGCGTCTCCAGCCCTCTGCCCCCCACCCCCGCAGTGGGGGGGAGCAGAAAGGGCGGCGGGAGGACACCCGGAGGAGGTTTGCTCCTGTCCTGAGCTAGGAGACAGGACGCAGAGACCCCCGCAGCCTCCGGACGACCGCCTGCTGCCGCAGAGAGAGGAGGACCCGCGTCGTGGGGTTAGGGGGGGGGGTTAGGGCCTTCGGGGGAGGGGCCAAGTGGGGCTGGCTGATCACGAGCCCCCCTCCAGGGCGGCAGCGGGCTGCTTATCGCGGTCAGACAGCGGCCGCCACTCCCCTGGCCTCCGGTTTCCGGGATTCCACTGGAGAAGCACCCCCCGCCCCGCCTCCCCGCTCACCCCCAACGCGCTCCCCCGGGGGAGGAGCCGGGTGCGGGGTAGCCGGGCCTGCAGGGCCTGGTCCTGGCCCAGCAACGAGGAAGGTGCCGTTGGGGGCCAGAGCCACTCAAGGGGATTGCGTTGGGTATCCTGACTGGCTACAAATCTCAGCTTCATCCTTTAATTAGATTTGCCAGTAAAGCTGATTGAAGTGGGGGAAAAAAACTCGATATGGCTGGTTCCTTGGTGATATTCACCAATTAGCTGGAAACTTGGGCAGCAACAAAAAAAAAAAAGGCAGTAATTTTTTTTTTGTTCCCCTAAAACTCCAACATTAAATACCCATAGGCCCACCAGTAAAAGTTCGTGCGACAAATCAAGGTAAATGGTTTGCTCGTTCATCTGCTCGGTGTTCGAGAGCAGCTTCTGAAGGGCTCTCTCCAGGCCCGAGAAGTGGGCATGAGTTTCAGCCTGAGGGCTTGGCTTTGGAAGAAATGCCTCTCCCTTTTCTCAGCGGTGGCCTCGCGTCCAGCTTCCGTCCCCTCCCCACCCGGCTGGTCCCCTCCCCAGCCCGGGGCCCGGGGCCACGTCCCAGTTGTGGGTCTCAGAAAACGGCCAAGTGGCAGCGGCAGGGGCCGTCTGGCGGGTCCTGCCGTCACCCCGAGGTGCCCTCGCTCAGACAGCACCGCTCTCCGTGTGCCCGCCGCCGCCCTGGCCAGGACACTCGCCGCGTGCGTCTCCCGGGTGTTCCCGCGGCTTCACCAGGGGCCCGGGAGCCCCCTTCATTCCTCTTCCTGGGATCGAGCCTGGAGCCCCGTTCGACTCTGGGGAGAAGCGCATCTTCCTTTTGTTTCTGATCAAGACCTTTGTCCACACCCTGCGTCCTCCCTCTTCGGCCTTGAACTCTCCCATGATAAAAAAAAAAGGAAGGTTTTATTCGGGGGTGTTTCCTGGCTGCCTTACATTCTGG